ATAAATAGCACCATTAAATTTCTTGTAAAAAACTGAAGTTATTTTAAAATTTTTAAGTTCAACCATTTGATTTCCTATAGCGAACAAAATAAACAAACTTCCTCTTTTATATATATAGATTATATATACCTCACTTCTTCAGGATAGATACAAGTAACATTTTAAAATATAATAAAAAATTGAAGGTGACAAATGATGAGTGTCGATCCATTTAGCTAACTGCCAACTTTAAGGCAATCAATCAAATTAAATATCTGTAAAACTGTACAAGTTTAATAAAGTTGATCAGTCTACACAACAGTAGACAAACCAAAGAATAAGTTTGTTACACAGCAAATATGAATTTGTGTTTTCCAAACTTAAACTACCTTTTTTTACTTCACCACTCATAGGTAACTTTTTTAAACACGTTCATGGTGTTCCTGTAGTATGGGATCATAAACTTCACCTAGTACACTATATAAGACTTAAAGTAATTGTTGTGCTTTTGTTTTTAAAGTAGCATAAATATTACACTACATGCTGTTTTTACCACAGTTACATTTCAGGGTTTATCAATAAAAATTCCTCAGTTCTTTTCTTTTGCAACACTAGTGATCCTTTCACATAGAAAATAAATTAAATACCTGAAATGTAAAACTAGACCCTAAGATATTTTAACTTGTTTTTTGCAATCTGATTTGCTCGCTAAGACTTGTATTCTTTTTAGATAACGTAAAATAAACTTTTTTTCCAGCATCTTAGTATCATCATCATCAAAGTTAAAAATATCTCTGCATGAGTCACTTTCCAAGTTCACAGGGTCAATCCTTTGGACAAACCCCTTATTGGAGAAGAAGTATTAACTATAATTCAGAATTTACAAATTGTATTTTCATGAAATATGGCAAGCTGTTAGTAAACAGTGAAGTCTATCATACACAAATATCATATGTGTTGATAAAGTTTTGTACTAATAATATGTCTGTGAATTGACAAAGTCAGTCTGCCTCACATTCTGAATAGTCATAGTTCAAGGTGATGTTTATGTGAACAATAAAAATACCTTTTTTCCATCGTGGTTTTCATAGTGTATTTGCATGACATCTACATTTTTTCCAATGTATATCTAAAGTTGTTTTTTTTTCATTATTTCTGCATATTGTATCTGATATTTTCTATACTTTAACACAAATCAACAATGTATGATAAGATGAAAAGTTGATAACTGACACCAAATTCATAATACCATGTTGAATGGCATGCACTGTTTGAACCCTGGGATAACAGGTATCATAACAGACCCCCAAGAATACTCACTAGTCACATCCTTTCAGTCAAAAAAAGTCTTCATTTAATGCAACTTTTTGCTTTTTACCAGTAAGCCTTTTTTTCTATCCACCTCTTACATGTAATTTGCCCACAGGTTTTATAAGAACTGAGCTTTTTTTACCAAATTAATCTATTGTGTAGCAACTCAGACACTTGGTGGAAATCAAAATACAGATTGTATGGACTGCCTCGCTATATAGTAGAAGCTCTTAAAGAGAACATGCTGAGATCATTAAGTGATTGCCAATTTCCAATATGCTTTTATAAGTGTTTTGTGACAATAGATGCTTACAGTAGACATAAGCCTTTTATTTATGATTCTATTTCATACCTTTTTATCTTCACTGATATAGAACCCTTTTAAACATGTTCAACTTCATTCTTACAAAATTGAATTCCAGTTGCACAGTTTAATTCATTGTTTTAGTCAACTCTTCTGTTTTCTTTGTTTGCCAAATAATCTTATTTTTATGGATTAATACTGGATTGCAAGTAATTTTTGGATGGAAAGGATTATTTCTTATCTTTAAACAGATGTAAATAAAGAATTGAGAAACTAATGTAGCTGGGACACATACTTTCAGAATTTAAAAATGAAGTATATTAATGATGTTTCAAAAGTAGACATTTAATCTGTATATTAGTAAAAATGTAACTAAATAAAAAATTAATGGCATAGAGTTGAAATAAAACTTGTATTTAAATTCCGTTTATTTCTCACTGAACTTGCATTCTAGAATAGTTTCAGTCTTTTAAAAAAGGAGTTCTGTTTCACCATATATTTAATTATGCACCTTAACACCTCTACAGTAACAACTGTAATGAACATTCCTGTGGTTAACATTGTATAATATTGCCATTGCCAGAAACAAGTCACATATATTTGAGACTTCTAACTTGCTGTTGTTACAGGAGATGTTTATTAGAAGGTTAGAGACAAAACAAATTCTCTAGTTAATCAGGTTATGTTTTGCTTTAATTTCTACACAAGTTACAGTTATAGATGTCAACAAAAATAGTAATTAAAAGTTATTTTATATAAATGAGTTGTAATAACAGCTAACATAAAATTAAGACGTGGATTAACTAATGAATAGTAGAGACAAGCAATAACACAGAACTTTTATAAGTTAAAATTAAAAACAGCAAGTAGATAGCTATGTTGCATTAACTATCATTCTGGGCTGGAGTTCTAATCCCCCCCCAACTCCCTCACTTCTGGGAATAGGCTCTCTTTATCCATTCTATACTGCTCCACATTTTGGGACTCTGACTGCTCCCGGTCTTGTCAATAGCTCTCCCCATTTGTGGATTTTCTATATATTGGACTTATGCTGTGACACTGTTTTTAACATCTTATGAACACTCCCCCCCCC